ACATGCTTAAGCATGTAAACAAAGTAGTGTGGCAGCTTTTGAATTTTTTTTTTAATATTCCTTTGATGTGGATATGGCAATATGAAGACACATTGCAAAAAAGTTGCAAGACATGTATGTAGAAGAACCTTCAGAGCAGAGCACAAACTTATACACTAATAAGGGAACGTAAATTCTCAGTCAGGAGTCAGGATGTGAACTACTCGCATTTACAAGGCTGGGCATACCAGCGCTGTATGATTTTTGTATCTCAGGAACAAGGAAAAATAAAGCAATCCTAGATAAATCTCTCATGAGATGAAAATGACAGGTAATGCAAATATCTGAATGTATTTCAGTGAAATACCTGAAAAATATCCACATACAAAAAAGATTCTAAAAAGTATAAGAATTTCACTCGCTACTTATTCACCATTAGGTGTTTTAATAAACATCCCTGCAGTATTATTGGACAGGGGGGCCTGGAGGACAAGCTGAACATGAGTGAGCAGTGCACCCTTCCGGTGGTAGAGTCCAACCATATACTGGGCTGCATAAGCAAGAGCCCTGCCAGCTGGTCAAGGCAAGTGCTTATTCCCCTCTCTTTGGTACTCGTGGGGCCACATTTGGAGTACTGTGTCCGGTTTGCGTTCCCCAGTACAAGAGGCTGCCAAACTTAAGCGAGCCCAGGTGTGCAGCCTATGGTTATACAAGAGACAGTCAGACCCTTCTCAGGGATTCACAGCGAAAGGACAAGAGACAGAGGTCACAGCACAGAGGGAAATTCAAACGACATATAAGAACACCTTTCCCCACAGCGAGAGGGGTTAAGCACCAGAACAGACTCCCCAGGCAAGCCAGGGAATCCAGCCGGTGCAGATACTCAAACCCTGCCTGGACCAGCCCCAAACAGTCTAATTCAACTTAAGTCAACTCCTCTGTGAGCCAGGGTTAGATTAGATAACCTCCAGAGATCCCTTCCAACCTAAACTCTTCTGTGATTCTCTGTTTACTATTGAGGGAAAGGGGGGAGATTAAAAGGGAAATCTGAAGTTGGTGGTAGTTATAAAATGGATTTCATACTAGACTTCAAAAAAAAATCGTTATTGTGAATAAAAACCTGTTAGCAGAAAGAATATACTTGATAGCGATAATTTAACCGTACATAATACTTATTTTGGGGAAAAGCAAAGATCTGTTTTGCTGAATGTTTCCAGAAGCATCACTTTGAGCCCTACTGGAAAACTACCCCCACCTTTAATGCTATTTAGCTATGCATTATGACTGTCAGTACTTCTATTATACTAAGATGCTTCTTCAAGTTTTTGTGTCTTTCAGGAAGATTGCTAATGAGAAACTAAGAAAGACTCAATTTTGCAACAGGTAAAAGCAGTATGGTTCAAAGAAGCTAAATATTCCCAAATGTGCTTACGCTATATAGGAGTCCTCCCCACGCCCCCCCGACTTGTGACGGGAACTAATTCATACAGCCTTTCATGAACTAACTATGATGTTCTATTTTAGAAAGGTATCCTAAGTACTACCATTATAACGATTGCATGGGGCAAAATAAATGTAACTAGGTTTAAAATCAAATGCTCAAGTCAAGAAAGTTCTTAAGCAGTGTTTTTGGATTGAGATCTCTAGAATTTCAAGACACAAAATGAGCGAACAGCCAGTCTCTTTTCGACATCTTCCAAAGCACTGCTCATGCACAGCAAGTTGGCACAGACACCCTGGACACAACCTTGTTCCAACAGACTGTCCCGCACCTGAGTATGTTTTGAGTCCATGAGAAGTGAGGACCAAAGCCAAGGAGCAGTCCACTGACAGAAGAAGCAGCTCCTGAAGAGCTGAAGAGCTCCTGACAACGGCAGGTCATAAAATTAGTGGAAGGCAGAGCAGGAGGCACTGTCCAGAGGGTATGTCAACAGCACAGTTGGTGTCAGGTAGATCCCATACATCCTGGAAGTGTCACATTGGTTTATTGGTAGGGTCCTGACAGCGGCTGTTAGGCAGACAGGTCAGATAGGTTCAGAAGTGGCATCAGTTTTGTTGCCTTCACATGCCTGTCATGATTTTCATGCTCTGTATCAAGCAACATATCTCCTTGCAGCCAAACTTCTACCAAACTGAGGCAGAGTACTAGCCAAGTGCACAAGAGCGGAGGCGTTCGAAACTGTGCACTGTGCATATCCACAGTGCTCAGAACAGATGTTTGTATGGGGACTAAGCACTTTCAAAGTACTGTGCCTTGCAATAACCATTGCACCCTTTGAATGTGTGTATACATCATATTTAGGAACCTAGAAGAACTTTTTTATTTATTAAAGAGATGGATCTTCATATGATGTTCACATTGATGCAGTATTTTGTTAACAATATAGAAAATGGCAAGCTTACTTCCTTAGGGTCACTCCTGTGAAGTCTTCAGAAGTATAGAACATTATAGATGATGATTCTCACTCCTGTATCTCCAGTGAGGTTCACATTTAGGACAGTTAAGAAACATGATATAATGACTGCCTGGCATAGAGTTGTGTTGCCTTTGCATCCACAGTGCTTGGCAAACCACAAACATGCAGGTACTACCTACATATATGCACATATTTTGAAGTAAAACTCATATATAACAGTACCAGCATAACTCCACACAGGAGGAAAACATCTATTAAAGCCACACAATGAGGACATAAAGGAAATGGCCTTGTTAGAAAGCCAGAGGTGGGGATTAAACTAGCTTCAGCTATATCCACAAGCAGCAGTGAGATCAAGCATTTTTCAAGCACAGCCAGGGATTTCAGTGTATGAGACAGAAGAGCAGACTCTAAACACTGATCAACTTTATAATTTAGCAAGTATCCATGTTTCAACTGAAATCCCAACACTGACTTGGGAGATAGATTTTTACATTTGCAGTCCTAGTCTTCTCCCTCAGATTTCATATCTTCTACCTTTATGACAACACTAAGTTTTACCTTCAGCTACCAGGGATTCATTCCCAAATGAAGAGTTAATTGAGAGATGTAAGCCTCATTGCTATTATGTTCCAAATCCAGTTGCAAAACACACTGCTCATCACAAAATCCAAGTTAAAAATTAAGGCAATATTAGTTACATGAACAAACACTTCCTTTAGCCAATTCAAGTTACTGGAGACAGCTCCGTTAGATTGTCTGAACACACAACAGATCAATTTTGATTTCCCAAGAGAAATCTTAGAAGTCAAGTTTCAGCAAGAAAACATTTTATTAGCAAACTGCAATAACCCTTAAAAGCAAAGGTAGTGGTATAATAATGACAATATTAATGTATAATAGAAATATTATTAACATATTGAGACAGGAAAAATACAACCTATTTCACTTTCTGGAGGCCCCTGCATAAGTGTAAAACAGACCTGCATCAGTAACATCCTGCATTAGCTACTGAGCACGAAGTCAAATCTGTAAGGATTTTTCCCCATGTTCCATCAATCACAGTAGCCAGGATCTTCAGTTTCAAATGTTTTTATACCAGCAGAGAATGTTAAGTAAATTAGGTATTAAATAAAATGCCTAAATATACATACAACAGAACTTTAAAAAGGTATATCTGTACAGTAATTTAAAAGCATATGAATTAACTGTTGCTGTAACTTGGTCACTGCATTCACATTTAAGTTAGCAGCACTGACTGTAATGATCTCTCAGTATTAATCAACATATCAAGGCTACTGTAATAGACTCTCCTCAATAATTCAGCACTTATTACTTTGACCTCTGTATGACATAAGTTTAAAGGTAGGTTGTTCAAAATATTAAGAGATAGGATCACTTTAAGCCCAGTTAATAAAGAGAAAAAAGTTTTGAAAGTGCAACATTGATTCTCCACTGTAACTAATCATTGCAACTCTCCTGCAGCCTTTTCCCTCAACTTAGCAAACAATGTATCTGGACTACTTTTTCAGATGGATTCAGAGAACTCTTCAAATCTTATTCAAAAGCCACCTGTAATGAATAAGAAACCCTAAAAGGTACAAGTATCAAGAAATGAGTTATGGTTAACATCGTGAAACATGGTGTGCTGGAAAGCCAACAAACAGCTTCCCACATGTCACCCCTGGGTCAGCAGCCAGCGCTCCTCAGGCTCTGCTGGGGCTCCTCGCAGACCCCGGGGCCACGCAGCAGCCCCTGCCACAGTGCTCAGTCCTGCGAGGTGCTAAGCACCTGCCGTTTCCAGAACCAGAGCACTGATCACTTCACGAAGCAGACGTGCAGTGACAGTAGAGAATTAAAAGAATTGTTATAGTGTTAAGGAAGATGAGCTGGATAGATGAGTCACCTGTGTCTGTCATTCCACAGCCTTTCAACAGATTATATAAAGAAGTGTTTTCCAACAAAACAAATTTGTCATTATCTCCAGAGTTCAGCAACCACACTGTAGATTTTTTCATGAGGTATAGTATGAAGTTAAAAGTATCCAGTTAGTGAAACTCTAACTTAATGAATACTGAGAATATAAGGGGTGGTTCATGTTTGCAAGACTACTTCATTTACGGACTACAATGGGTCATAAAACCACCAGTGTAACATGAATGTCTTATTACTACTATGGTTCTCAAATATGTTCAGGTACTTATTATCTCTTATGAGCACTGCAGAAGAGTATTTGTTTATAATTTTATCTCTTCCCCATATAATCATTTTATTGATTTTTTGTGGTTGTTTTTAAAGCTATGTCATATTTGCTAACAAGATTTCTAAGCTAACCAGCATTCAGTTTGGTGGAGAGTAAAATTTCTTTAGGATCAGTTTTACAGTGGAAGAAAGCTGAGTTTCAGACATGTACCCCAAAGCATTTCAGAATATTTGATGAGTAGCCAAGGAGGACACTGCTCCATATATTTTCCTCCTTTTTCAAAGTACAAAGGGGACCATTAGAGACAGCTTTTTCTGAACTGCATGCAGTGATTATTCACTATAGACATTAACAGAGTGATGTACATTAGACTAGCAAAAGCTCTGAATAAGTTTTCCTACCTTATCTGCCATTATCATGGAAGCCCCGCCGTGAATTCCAAGAATTGGAATAAAAGTCTGAGATGAAATAAAATCCAAAATCTGAGCTACTGCCTCCTGATCAGTATCATCTCCAAAAACCACTCCATGGATCTTGGTGCCTGACATCAAGTCACAAACATGTGTTATGATGCTTTTAGGGTCAGTCTGGTTCACCAGAAGGGTCACTACATTGACATCAACAGTCAGGTCTGCTGACATTTCCCTGGTCCAGAGAGCTCTGATATCTCTCTCTGTGATATACTTGGTCCTTCCCAGAATCACTGCAATGTTAAGGATGGGATAACTTTTCTCTGCTCCATGAACAAGATCCAAAGGTGCCAGAAGAGCTTGCAGTACGAGGAGAGCACAGCCAATTTTCCTCATCTTTGCCAGCTTTGAACCCTGTAAAAGCGATCACATTGCATGAGAGAGGGGGAAAAAAAAAAAAAAAAAAGGAGAGGAAAAAAATGTATTCCCAATTAAGTTTTAAACACAAAGCATCTGGATACAATGCAGACTTTAGCAGCTTCTCACAATGCCTTCTTCACCTTAGTTTCAATCTAAGCCTCTTACCTCCCCTCAAAAAGTTGCCTTGCCAATAATGACAGATAATATTATAACTGGTCTCCCACAAGCAAGGCAAAAAATGTAGCACAAGTTCAGAGGAAAAACCCATTAAAATGCTTCTTGGATGGCTAACAAAATTAAAATGACTGAAACTATTAAAAAAAGGCATCCTTCTCCTTAACCTTGTCCTCCTAAAAAAGGTAACACACAAATCTGGATTCCTTTGTCTTGAACAGCTATTCAAAATTTAGACTAACAGGAAGACGTGCTTTCCCTTAAAACGACAGAAGTGAGCCAGAGGTCCGCTGGAAACCCCAGTCCGCATATTCCATACATCTCACAGCATCCCAGAAACATGCTGTTTTAATTCTGAAGATCTCTCCTAGAGAGCTGCTGCTTGTGCAGAATCTACTGCATTTCTGGAACAGGTTCAGAAGCACAATATTCTATCTTAATTCTTCTCCCTTCTCTTACATGGCATTCACTTGAGCATCTCAGAAGTGCTGATCTCAGACTCAAAGTTGTCACTGGTGTTGAAGGGGAGGGTGTTCCATAAATGAGCATCACTGCACTGGTTTACTGGTTTACTTCATGTCTTCACTGAATCTCTGTAGGGGGCTGAATATAGAGAGAGTAGGACGGGGAGACAGATGAGCCATGGAAGAAGTGATCTGAACTATCTGGAGGAGGGAGAAGGGGGAGAGCAGGTCTGACTCTGCAAGATCTCCCTCGGCTTCTGTGCCCCGGAGGATTTCCACCCCCATAAATGGCTCTCTGCTAGCTGCAAGAAGGGAGTCCCTATGCCACATAAGCCAACCTTGTTCCGAAGCATCTTGCAGAAAACACTAGCAAGGCTGTCCAATCAGGGGTGGCATTTTTCAGATCTCCTCTCTGATCCTGCCAAGCACATCTCCATCAGTAACTCATCTGCTGCTGAAACACACACCAAGACAAGCGCTTGCAGTATCATCACCTCCTTTCAGAGCAGACAAGGAGATGAGCACTTAAGAGACCATCTAATTGCAAATCAATTGCACTGTGCTTCCTAAGTCACTGCACTGCGTGCCAGATCCTCGCTCCTGCAGCAGCCAAGGTAGCAAAGCAAGTGGTATAAATAGATAAACCTAAATCCCCGCAGACATGAAGCTGCTTCAGCTTCCTCTAGACCCTAGGGGGGGGGGG